CTTAAAAGATCCTGGCCAATCCCTAACAGGTGGCTAGGCAAGGGGGCCAGGACAACCTTTAAGAGTAACTGAGCCTACTCAGTCGGGGAGAGTGGTTGGAGAGTTCAGGTGGAAGATGAGCGAGGAAGAGGGTCAGGAGCATGTGAGGGGGCCTAAATGGAGAGCAACTCACCTGCAGGCAGAGGACCTTGAAAGGCTGAAAGCTTGGGACTTCACCCACTTTCTGAGAGAGGACCACCCGTTTGGCAGGGTAGGAGTGGCCCAGATAGAAGGCCTGGTAGCAGCCACCGACCAAGTGAGTAGACTTGCACCCCCTGGGCCACATAGGGGAAGGAGCACTCTGGTGGGAAGCTGGATTAGCTGCTACCTGGGACTGTTTCCTTATTTAAAGGGACAGGTACTGGATCCCCTGCCCAGGGATTCACCCAGAGCTGCTGGATTAAGGAGAATCTAGTGTATGGGGTGGTACATCAGGAGAGGCTGGCTAGCTCTCCAGAAGAGGATTTGTGTTGCAAAGATTAGTAAATAGTTCCAGGAAGTTTGTCGTCAGTTCCAGTTCCATTGGGCATCCCATACACCCCTCCCCACCATATCCAAGTAGTTATTTCCTAAGAAAACATCTAAACAAACTCAAGAACTAGTTAATGTCTCCTGGATGCAAGTCTGAATGAAAAGGCGTGCTGCCTGGCTTTGCAGGACTATAGGGGGATCCAAATCTTCAGCAACTCCTGAGGGGGTAGTGATGTGTGTGTGTGTGTGTGTGTGTGTGTGTGTGTGTGTGTGTGTAAATAAGTTCTTTGTAATAAAATGGAATGGCACAGGGGAAAAAGTATTGAACACATGAAGAAAGGGAGGGGCAAAAAGGCATGGAAAGCCAAGACACCAGCTGAAATCTATGAGTAATTAGAGAGCAATTCTGCCCCTTGTCAGTGCAAAATAATATCAGCTAGTTCAGTCTCAACTGATGGCCTATAAAAACATACTGATGGCATTGGTTATAGAAGGATTTCTTCTGAATGTTCTAGTGAGCACTGTTGGGGCCATAATCGGAAGTAGAACATCCTTTCACCATAAACCAACCACGACCTCGCAAGATTTCTGATGGAGGAGTAAAAAGAATTATCAGGATAGTTGTCCAGGAGCCAAGGACCACTTGTGGAGAGCTTCAGAAAGACCTGGAACAAGCAGGTACAGTTGTTTCAAAGAAAAAAAGTAATGCACTCAACCGCCACGGCCTGTATGCACGCTTACCATGCAAGACTCCATTGAAGAAAAAAGCATGTTGAAGCTTGTGTAAAGTTTGCTGCACAACATTTAGACAAGCCTGTGAAATACTGGGAGAATATAGTCTGGTCAGATGAGATCAAAATCTGCTGCCATCTACCAGGATGATGAAGATGAAATGAAGCTAAACATTTCAGCAAGACAATTATCCCAAACACAAAGCCAAGGAAACTCAGTTGGTTTCAAAGAGAGAAATAAAGTTGCTAGAACGGCTCAGTCAGTCAATCACCTGACTCGAATCCAATAGAAATTCTATGGAAAGAACTAAAGATCAGAGTTCATGGAAGAGGTCCACGGAACTTTCAAGATTTGAAGACTGTATGGAAGAATGAGCAATGTATGCAACTGTTTTTTCTCCATGCAGGAGGCATCTTGAAGCTGTCATTACTAACAAAGGACTCTGTACGAAGTATTTTGAATACTTTTTTTTTCCCTGTATCATTCCATTTTATTACACTTAATTTCTGAACTTTGTTGTATGCATATATGGGCGTGTGTGAGTGTGTGTGTATGTATATGTGTGTGTGTATATGTGTATATGTATATATATATATATATATATATATATATATATATATATATATATATATATATATATATATATATATATATACCTTTTTTTTATATATTACAAAATACTTTTAAAAATATATATTCTTTAGATTTTTTTTAACATATATATTTTTACATATACAGTTGCAAGAAAAAGTATGTGAACCCCTTGGGATTACGTGGAGTTTTGCATGAATTGGGCATAAAATGTGCTCTGAACATCATCTAAGTCACAACAATAGAAGAACACAGTCTGCTGAACATAATACTACACAAACATTAGATGTTGCCATGGTTTAATTGCACATAACATGTAAACATTCACAGTGCAGGGAGGAAAAAGTATGTGAACCTTTGGACTTAATAACTGGTTGACCCTCCTTTGGCAGCAATAACCTCAACCAAACGTTTCCTATAGTTGCAGATCAGACCTGCACAACGATCTGGAGCCATTTTGGACCACTCCTCTTCACAAAACTGTTTCAGTGTAGCAATATTCTTGGGATGTCTGCTGTGAATCGCTCTCTTAAGGTCATTTCACAGCATTTCAATCGGGTTGAGGTCAGGACTCTGACTGGGCCACTCCAGAAGGCGTATTCTGTGTTGTTGCAGCCATTGTTTTGTAGAATTACTTGTATGCTTTGGGACATTGCCCTGTTGCATCACCCATCCTCTGCGGAGCGTCAGTTGGCGGATAGATGGTCGTACGTTTTCCTGCAAAATGTCTTGATAAACTTTGGAATTCATTTTCCCATCAATGACAACAATCCGTCCAGGCCCTGAGGCAGCATAGCAGCCCGAAACCATGATGCTCCCTCCGCCATGTTTTACAGTGGGGATGAGGTTTTGATGTTGGTGTGCTGTGCCTTTTTTTTTCTCCACACATAATATTGAGTGTTCTTCCCAAACAACTTAATCTTGGTTTCATCTGTCCACAGTATATTTTGCCAGTAGTGCTGTGGAACATACAGGTGCTCTTTTGCAAACTTTAAACGTGCTGCAATATTCTTTTTGGACAGCAATAGCTTCCTCCGTGGTGTCCTCCCATGTACTCCATTCTTGTTTAATGTTTTCCTTATTGTAGATGTGTCAACAAAAATGTTAACATGTGCCAGAGATTTCTGTAGGTCTTTAGCTGACACTCTGGGATTCTTCTTTACTTCATGCAACATTCTGCGCTGTGCTCTTGCAGTCATTTTTACAGGACGACCATGCCTAGGGAGAGTAGCAACAGTGCTAAACTTTCTCCATTTGTAGACAATCTGTCTTACCATGGACACATGAACATCAAGGCTTTTGGAGATACTTTTGTAACCCTTTCCAGCTTCATGCAAGTCAACAATTCTTGATTGTAGGTCTTCTGAGAGCTCTTTTCTGCGAGGCATGGTTCACATCAGACAGTGCTTCTTGAAACCAGTAAACCAAAACAGGTGTGTGTTTTTTAAGGGCAGGACAGCTGTTAGCAACACATCCAATATCATCATACTGATTGGAGTCAAGGTTGGCTCACTCCTGGCTCCAATTAGCTCTGGGAGGAGTCATTAAGCTAGGGCCTCACATACTTTTTCCTCCCTGCACTGTGAATGTTTACATGTTATGTGCAATTAAACCATGGCAACATCTAATGCTTGTGTAGTATTATGTTCAGCAGACTGTGTTCTTCTATTGTTGTGACTTAGATGACGTTCAGAGCACATTTTATGCCCAATTCATGCAAAACTCCACGTAATCCCAAGGGGTTCACATACTTTTTCTTGCAACTGTATATGTACATGCATTACAAAAATGTAGATTAAATATGTGTGTGTATATATATATTAGATAGCGCTATATATATATATATAAATATAGTTATTTATTTATTTTTAATACGGGCAAAATTGTAGTATCTCAAATATGTCAATTATATTTGGGGAAGAATATTTTTAAAATCTATTTTTCTTCCATGTGGGTTGTACCATGTGATAAGCTGTGACCAATTACAGCTCACACAGTATTTCTCAAGGGTTGCAGGAATGCAGCCAGAGAGCAGGAGAAATTATTGATTTTACAGCCTTTATAGGTGTAAACGCAATCGCAGTGTAAAAAAAAAAAACAGCTAGGGTGACAGTATGTACAAAAAAATTATATATAAAAATTTTCAAAAATTTTGTTTTTACATTTTCATATAATTATTTTTCTAGATACTGATTTTTGAGTGTTTTTATTTATTTTTAGCAGAATACATTTTGACCAAGATTTATGAAGAAAGATTTATTTGCAAATTTATTTTTTTTTTATATATATATATATTTATATATAAATATATATATATTATATATATATATATATATATATATATTTTTTTTTTTTTTTTTTTTTTTTTTATTTTTAAAGTTGCAGTCTTTTCATTTTTATATAGCGTAAAAAAAAAATTCCACTGAATAAATACCACCAAAAGAAAGTTCAATCTGTCTTTTTAACAAATGCTAAAAAATTTCATTTGGGTAGTATTGCATGACTACGCAATTGTCATTCAAATTGTAACAGTGATCAAAGCTAAAAATTGGCCTGAATTGGAAGGGGGTGAAAGTGGTTAAATTACAGGGTATGAAAAAAAAACACCTTTTTATAAATAGGTCTCATATTTAAAATTGGCACTGGTCAAAAGGGATAATTTTTTTGTTTTAAACTTTTAATTTTGGAAAACAATACCAGCAAAATACAGTAAATTCTTGCATAAAGTCTAAAGTCGAACTCCGGCTAAAAATGATTAGCCTAGTAAAACATAAAATAACAAATCCAGCTTTTTCCTGCTTCACCTTCAATCCAGAGATTTCCCTCACATTACTTTTCCTATACACTCTGCTTTCTCCTCCTATCAGCATGCGCCTTGTCAGCACATGAATTGATTGCCTCGTTGCATTGCTTCTTCCTCTCACACTCCAGCGCTGCTGTACAGTGACTGATGCCAAGTCAAATGCTAGTACTTACTCTGCTTGCATTTAAAAAATAAATTTTATTACATCTTTGCTCCAGTCATCACTCCCTAATTATTTTCAATGGAGGAGTGAAGGGCAGATATAGTGGGTGAAGCAGACAGTTCTTTCAGACTCAATGATCTCTGATTTATTTATCAACGTCTTCTTTATTCATTTGGTCTATATTTTAATTCTGACTTTTTTTCTTTCCAGTATGGCATTGTCCTAGATGCAGGCTCCTCCCACAGCGCTCTCTTCATCTACAAGTGGCCGGCTGATAAAGAGAATGACACCGGTATTGTCAGTCAGCACAGCATGTGTGATGTGAGTGGTAAGTAGAAGTCAGAGAGACTCAAGACTTGGTAAAGGGGGAGGGGAATTCCATATATTAATACATTAAAAAGAACTAATGAAAAATAAATTTAAGAAGTGTGTGTGTGTGTGTGTGTGTGTGTGTGTGTGTGTGTGTGTATATTACACAATCAAATATTTTTTTTTTGTTGTTGTGTTTTTTTTTTTTTTTGTTTTTTTTTTTCAAAATAAAATTGAAATCCATTAAAAGGAATTGGCAAGCATTTTTAACCTATGATAGCAGTGATCTGAAATCTGGTGACCTGTTGTCTACAAATTCATGATGTACATGTCAGAATCATAAAATCACATGAATTTTAAAAAAAAAAGTTTCTTATCCTTGCCCTGAATATTATTCTTCTTTGGTTTCCTGCATTTCACTTCTAAATTAGAAAAATATGACATAATCTTTGGCTGTAATAGGCGGCATTATGGATGTTTTGACATCATTAAAGGCTGCAGGCAGTTTGTTTTTTTATTGGTGAGATTAGAGGGACTGTCAGGCTACAGCTGCCCATACACTAGTACAGGGGTATTGAATGAAAATCGATTTGAGGTCCAATCAGTAAAAATGTATTTCAGCAGAGGTTAGAGGTCCGAATCGCAGATCCTTCACATCACAGCCCTCTTATATCACAATGGCGTTCTTACATCAGTATCCTTTACCCCCCCCCCCCCCCCCCCCCCGCATATCACCATCCCCCCATTTACAACACAGTCCATGTCCCATCACAGTTTCCCCTTCACAGGTGTATCCTCCACCCCCCTTCACAGTAGTGTTCTGAACCTCCCAGGAGCGTTCACCGCCCCCTTCACGGTAGTGTTCTGAACCTCACAGGAGTGTCCTCCGCCCACCTATACGGTAGTGTTCTGAACCTCACAGGAGTGTCCTCCGCCCCCCTATACGGTAGTGTTCTGAACCTCACAGGAGTGTCCTCCGCCCACCTATACGGTAGTGTTCTGAACCTCACAGGAGTGTCCTCCGCTCCCCTTTACGGTAGTGTTTTGAACCTCACAGGCATGTCCTCCACCCCCCTTCACGGTAGTGTTCTGAACCTCACAGGAGTGTCCTCTGCCCCCCTTCACGGTAGTGTTCTGAACCTCACAGAACTGTCCTCCGCCCACCTATACAGTAGTGTTCTGAACCAGACAGGAGTGTCCTCCGCCCCCCTATACAGTAGTGTTCTGAACCTCACAGGAGTGTCCTCCGCCCCCCTTTACGGTAGTGTTTTGAACCTCACAGGCGTGTCCTCCGCCCCCCTTCATGGTAGTGTTATGAACCTCACAGGAGTGTCCTCCGCCCCCCTTTACGGTAGTGTTCTGAACCTCACAGGAGTGCCCTCCTCCCCCCTTCACAGTAGTGTTTTCTGAACATCACAGGAGTAGGGGGGGGGCCTTGAGTGGGAGCTGCCGAAGTTAACATTTTTCAATTTAACCAGCAGCTGATTAGTTACTCAGCAGTCCAAGCAACCAATCACCACCTTGTTAATAGGAAGTTAACTTTGGAAGTTCCAGCCCGACAGCCCCCCTGCCCCACCCAGTGCTTTTGCTGTCTCCCGCTCTCCACTCTAGGAGAATGACAGCAGGCAGAGGCTGGAAGAAGAAAGCTGCTCTTTAAGTAGCAATGACCACACTGACCCGATCTGAATTTGGACCATGGTCGACTATTTAATGATGCCTGCGCTTGAAGATTTTCGAATGAACAACTGGACGTTCATACAACATTTTGCAGAAAAATTTGTCATCCGTATATTAGATGACATGATGAATGTCCGAACGTACGAAAATAAAAGTTGTTTTAACATTCGATGTTGAAGTGAATGGACTTTCTTGAATGGAAACCACATTCACTGTTAGTATTCCATTCTTTCAAGGAAAAAAATTCATCCTGCTTCTACGAATTTTCTTGCCATGTCAAAAACGACCATTGATTTGACCTGTGCTGAAAACAGAAAATGGGGAAAAAAACATTCCAAATGCAATCTCCACCTAATATAGACCACCTAAACAAGTCCTGGTGCATTTTCTGATGAAGAACCCTTTGAATGGAAGAAGCTGCTGTTTATGCCTTTAGCATAGACATGTGGACGAATTCATGTAGAAGCTGTGTGCCGCTCCTCCTTGTAATATAGATCATATCAAATGTGGGGGAGGGGGGCAAGCTCCACATGTTAGCATGGCTTCTGGTGACTCTTTGTGATCCCAAAGTGGGACAAGTAGATGGCAATTTCACATAGCGTTGTTGGTTACAGAGACTGATTTTTTATTAATTATCATTAATATTATCGTTGGTTTGAATCCCAGCCACAGTACTACCTGCCTGGAGTTTGCATGTTCTCCCTGTGCCTACATGGGTTTTCTCCGGGTACTCTGGTTTCCTTCCACACTTCAAAGACATGCTGGTAGGATAATTGACTGACTCCTGACTAAATTGGCCTAGTATGTGTATGTATGAATGTGAGTTGGGGACCTTAGATTGTATGCCCCTTGAGGGTTAGCGACTTATGTGATGTACAATATATATGTAAAGTGCTGCATAAATTGACGGCGCGATATAAGTTCCAATAATAAATAAAAATTATTTGTTATATTTTAATAATAATAATATATATTTTTAATAATATATATCTTTTATTATTAAAATATATATTATTATTAATAAAATAAATATAATATTAAAATATATATATATATATATATATATATATATATATATTTATATATGAAAATTTAATAAAAAAAATAAATATATATATATATATATATATATATATATATATATATATATATATTTTATATATTTATTATGAAAAAAATATATAAATAAAATAAAATATATATATATATATATATATATATATATATATATATATATATATATATATAAACATTTTTTTTTTTTTTTTAATGTAAAAGTGGTATTAAACCTGACAGCAAACGTTTGTATTGCTTGGTTCCAGCATACCATTTCTTAGATGTGATGGTTGCATTCATTTTCTCTTTTAGGCTTGCTTTCTTCTATTTATTTCTTGCTTCCTTCTATGGTGAACTGGCCAGTAAGGGAGTTGTTTTTTCAAAAAACAAGCTCAACAGCTGAATGTATTAGTTACAGAGATGAGACAAACCATTTAACTCTGAAAGGGGTGCTTGCAATGATCATCTTTTATTTCTGTAATACCTTTATCCCAAAAGAAAAAAAAACTGTTTGCCGTAACTGATTATAAAGTATTAGTTGGAGTTTGGCTTCAATTTGTTTAGTGTATTTAAATCTGCTAGTACATCTAACACTCCCCTTCCCAGATACTGACAATGCTGCTATCCAAAGCTATCCACGTGCTCCTTCATCCAGAGTGAGGGCACTCTAATACAGGAGGTTTGTTATTGGCCTGATCACCTAGTGAAAACAGAGGGGGGAAAGCCTAAAAAAAAAAACTAATACAGCCACCACATCTAATGATTGGTAAGCTGCAGTATATTACACATTTGGTTTGGGGTTTAATGCTGCTTTGAGTACATTTAGGAAGCTTTAGAAACTGGATTTTTTTTTTTAACGTTTTAAACCGTATGAACTTTTATCCTTTTTCATTTTTTATGTGCTCTGTTCCACTGGTCTTTGGAAATGGCTTATCTCTGCTTTCTCCAGGAGGAGTGTGTCGGATGAGTTATGATCACATAACTGCATATACAAGACCAACTTCTTTATAAACATGCTTAAGAGGCTAAAAGCAAATTGTCTCTCCCCAGACAGAATTAAAGTATCACATGTATGTTTCTCATTTTTATGTTTGCTGGTTCTGGTGAAGTGGGAGGGCGTCTTGTCATGCTGTAGGAATGTGCCCTACATAAAGTGCCTATTGACCTATAGAATGTATATGTCATATATGTGTTGTCTTTGCAGGCCCCGGGATATCCAGCTACTGGATGACTCCTCCAGATGCAGGAAAGAGCTTGGAAAAATGTCTGAACCAGGCAGTGAAAGATGTCCCAACTAGTAGACATGCCATCACCCCCCTGTACCTGGGGGCCACAGCTGGCATGAGACTCTTGAAGTATGTATGGGCTGATGGCCAATTGTCTACATAATAAGTATTCTGTGTGTACTGACTAAACTCCCTTTTTACTATGTATGTAAATCCAGAAGCCGCTAAAGAGGGGTAAAAAATATTGGGGGGGGGGGGGTTTATTCACTAAAATATAGTAACCCATCGCAACCAGTCAACTTTCTGAAGGGTAGAGTTCTTGGGAAACTCTTGACCCCAGTTGTCAACTGGCTCCCCCCCCAGAGTTTAAAGGAAACCTGTACTGAGCAGGGGCGGACTGACCATTTGGAAACTCGGCACTGCCCGAGGGCCCGAGATCTGTAGGGGGCCCCATGAGATGCCCCTGGTACCTTTTCCATAGGCTTTTTTGAGTTTGGGCAAGGACATGGGGGCCCCATGATCCCCTATTTTCCCGGGGGCCCCATGAGTTGTCAGTCCGCCCCTGGTACTGAGTGAACTGTATATGCTACCATAACCTGAATCCTTTCTAGAAATGCCAGATCCCCTGGCTGCCTTTTGACTTGTTATCCACTTGAGCTCTGGAAGATTTTACCCCCTTCATGACCAGGACTTTTTTTGCTATACCGTGCTGCTCTATTTTAACTGGTAATTGCATGGTAATGCAATGCTGTACACAAACAAAATTTATATCCTTTTTTTTTTTTTTTTTTTTTTTTTCTTTCTCTTCACTCAAATAGAGCTTTCTTTTGGTGGTATTTAATAACCACTGTTTTTTTTTTGTGATATAAACGAAAAAAGACCCAAAAGTTTTGAAAAAACAATATTTTTTTACTTTTTACTACTATAAAACATATCCAACAAAAAAAAAGAATCAAATTTCTTCATAAATTTTGGCCAAAATTTTTTTTCTACATGTCTTTGATGTAAAAAAAAAAAAATCTCAACAATATGTTACATGGTTAGTCTGGCTGAAAAAAGACAAAAGTCCATCCAGTTCAACCATAAAATAAAAAGTTATAATCCTATACCCACAGTTGATCCAGATGAAGGCAAAAAAACCCAGCAAAGCATGATCCAATTTGCTCCTGCAGAGGAAAAAATTCCTTCCTGATCCCCCGAGAGGCAATTGGATATTCCCTGGATCAACTTTACCTATAAATGTTAGTATCCAGTTATATTCTGTGTATCTAAGAAACAATCCAGGCCTTTTTTAAAGCAATCCACTGAGCTGGCCAGAACCAACTCTTGAGGGAGTCTATTCCACATTTTCATAGCCCTTACTGTGAAGAAACCTTTCTGTATTTGGAGATTTAAAACTTTTTTTTTTCTCCAGACATAAAGAGTGCCCCCTTGTCCTCTGTGATGACCTCAGGATGAATAACTCTACACCAAGTTCACTATATGAACCACTGATGTATTTATACATGGTGATCATATCCCCCTTAATCTCTTCTTCTCAAGAGAGAATAAATTCAGTTCCTCTAATCTTTCCTCATAGCTGAGCTCCTCCATCCCTTTTATCAGCTTGGTTGCCATTCTCTGTACTTTCTCACGTTCCCCAATGTTCTTCTTCCTGTGAATTGGTGATTGGTGTGTGTGACAGTTATAAGTGCCTACAAACTATTGTTGTGTGTATGTGTGTGTATGTATGTATGTATGTATGTATGTATGTATATGTGTGTGTGTGTGTATATATATATATATACAGTTGCAAGAAAAAGTATGTGAACCCCTTGGGATTACGTGGAGTTTTGCATGAATTGGGCATAAAATGTGCTCTGAACGTCATCTAAGTCACAACAATAGAAGAAACAGTCTGCTGAACATAAATATACACAAACATTAGATGTTGCCATGATTTATTGCACATAACATGTAAACATTCACAGTGCAGGGAGGAAAAAGTATGTGAACCTTTGGACTTAATAACTGGTTGACCCTCCTTTGGCAGCAATAACCTCAACCAAACGTTTCCTGTAGTTGCAGATCAGACCTGCACAACGATCTGGAGTAATTTTGGACCACTCCTCTTCACAAAACTGTTTCAGTGTAGCAATATTCTTGGGATGTCTGGTGTGAATCGCTCTCTTAAGGTCATGCCACAGCATTTCAATTGGGTTGAGGTCAGGACTCTGACTGGGCCACTCCAGAAGGCGTATTCTGTGTTGTTGCAGCCATTGTTTTGTTAAATTACTTGTATGCTTTGGGTCATTGTCCTGTTGCATCACCCATCCTCTGCGGAGCTTCAGTTGGCGGACAGATGGTCGTACGTTTTCCTGCAAAATGTCTTGATAAAACTCTGGAATTCATTTTCCCATCAATGACAACAATCCGTCCAGGCCCTGAGGCAGCAAAGCAGCCCCAAACCATGATGCTCCCTCCGCCATGTTTTACAGTGGGATGAGGTTTTGATGTTGGTGTGCTGTGCATTTTTTTTTCTCCACACATAGTGTTGTGTGTTCTTCCAAACAACTCAATCTTGGTTTCATCTGTCCACAGTATATTTTGCCAGTAGTGCTGTGGAACATCCAGGTGCTCTTTTGCAAACTTCAAACGTGCTGCAATATTCTTTTTGGACAGCAATGGCTTCCTCCGTGGTGTCCTCCCATGTACTCCATTCTTGTTTAATGTTTTCCTTATTGTAGATGTGTCAACAAAAATGTTAGCATGTGCCAGAGATTTCTGTAGGTCTTTAGCTGACACTCTGGGATTCTTCTTTACCTCATGCAGCATTCTGCGCTGTGCTCTTGCAGTCATTTTTACAGGACGACCACGCCTAGGGAGAGTAGCAACAGTGCTAAACTTTCTCCATTTGTAGACAGTCTGTCTTACCTTGGACACATCTGAACATCAAGGCTTTTGGAGATACTTTTGTAACCCTTTCCAGCTTCACGCAAGTCAACAATTCTTGATCGTAGGTCTTCTGAGAGCTCTTTTCTGCGAGGCATGGTTCACATCAGACAGTGCTTCTTGAAACCAGTAAACCCAAAACAGGTGTGTGTTTTATAAGGGCAGGACAGCTGTCAGCAACACATCCAATATCATCACACTGATTGGAGTCAAGGTTGGCTCACTCCTGGCTCCAATAGCTCTGGGAGAAGTCATTAAGCTAGGGCCTCATATACTTTTTCCTCCCTGCACTGTGAATGTTTACATGTTATGTGCAATTAAACCATGGCAACATCTAATGCTTGTGTAGTATTATGTTCAGCAGACTGTGTTCTTCTATTGTTGTGACTTTGATGACGTTCAGAGCACATTTTATGCCCAATTCATGCAAAACTCCACGTAATCCCAAGGGGTTCACATACTTTTTCTTGCAACTGTATGTGTGTGTGTGTGTGTGTGTATGTATATATGTGTGTGTGTATGTATATATGTGTGTGTGTGTATATGTATGTATATGTATATGTATGTATATATATATATATATATATATATCTATATATATATATATATATATATATATATATATATATATATATATATATAATTTTTTTTTTTAATGCACTAATGGTGGTGATCAATGACTCCTATCAGGACAGCAATAGTGCAGCGGACAATCTGACATTGACTGATGGTGGGGGAGCTGACTTAACTGCCACTGATCTCACCAGTGACCTTATTACAGTGATCAGTGATAATATACACTGTCACTTGTACTAATGACACTGGCTGGAAAGGGGTTAACACCTAGGGCTGTCAAGGGGTTAAATATGTTCCTAACTATGTGTAAAGTGTGCTGCTTTTAGGGATGAAAAAACAGAGATTGTTTCCTGTGTACAAAGCTTTGTGTTGAATGTTAACACAGAGCTCTGGGCTGTGATTGTACACAGCCAGTCAGCAGTTCTTGGCCATGAATTATTGGTTGGGGCTTGCTGACAGGCATACGCTGTGTACAATCATAACGAGCGCCGGCTTGGGGGGGGGGGGGGCGCATGCGCCTGAAACCCTGAAGTAGGCAGTGGCGTGCAGGTACATCTCTTTGCCTACAGCAGTACATTGCGGGCGGGCAGTCCCTAAGTGGTTAGGCCCCATGTACATGGGACACTTCTGAACGATGGAAAACTGACATCTGGAAAACGTAGGTTAAAACTGTCTTTTTAGCAGCGTTTGCATACCGCGTTTATGTGCGTTTGCATTTAGAAGCGGTTTTTTAAGATAAGCACAGGAGAACCTCCCAAATGCCCAGAACGCACTGAAAAGTGGTAAATTATTAACTATTTCAGACTTTCAGAGAAATACAGAGAGTAGAAGCAGAGACAGCAGTATGTGTTGAGATTAGCTTAGGTGTGAGTTGCTCATTAACATTTCTTTGGTTTCCAAGGGTGGGAAAGGTGTCTGGTGGAGTGAGTCATTAAGGCCACCTGGCACCTGGCAGGGGGTCTTTATGAGGAATTTGAAGTGTGAATGGTCATATATATATCTTTTGTTTCCAAGGTTGTGAGAGGTCTGAGGTGTGAATTGGTCATTACAATGTGTGACAAGCTTGGTAGGAACATCCTGTGTTCAGTGTTTTTTGTCCATGTGAGTACCTTGAAAACGCTTTGCATGCATTTTTCATGATGAAAAAAGGCTCTGAACAGCATCGGGAACTGGAAGAGTTAAAAAAAATTTAAAACGCTTATAAACGCGATTTGCGTTTACAAGCGTTTTGCGTTTAAAACGCTGATAAAATCGACTGCTGAACGCAAGTTTTCTACATTCAAAAAAACGACTGTAAACTCAAATGCCTGTAAATGACTGTAAACGAAGATGTGTACATGGACACATAGAAAAACATTAGGGAGAGTTCAGGGGCTGCTGAAAAAAAAACGCAGAAAAGCTCCTAAATGTGAGTTTATCAGCTGCAGTGTACATGAGCCCTTATACTATAAAAAATGTTGTTTAGAGCAGGGGCGGACTGACAACTCATGGGGCCTCCAGGCAATAGGGGATCATGGGGCCCCTGTGTCCTTGCCCAAACTCAAAAAAGCCTATGACAAAAGTACCAGGGGCATCTCATGGGGCCCCCTACTGACCTCGGGCAGTGCCCGAGTTTCCAAATGGTCAGTACGCCCCTGGTTTAGAACCAAACACAGGTCTTCACTATTTGTATACGGTTCAGTCATATATGTTGAATCTATTGTTTCATTCAATTAGTTATGGCCATCTTGGACTCCATGGCACTCTATGAGCATAGTGATATGTGGCAAATAAAAAGGGATAGCATAGTTACCTGCTAGAATAATATTTTTTTTTCCCTAATGTTAAGTGATGTTCTGGCAAGCTTTTATTACCAAGCGAAGATCTGGCCCAAGGCTTATCTATAGAAATGTTGTGCTTATTGCTGGGAAACGTCTGCTTTGGAGACCACCCAAGATCACAGTCCAAGTGCTGTCATCCTACCAAGCTATACACAGCCCCTCATACGGCTTCTTCTTTTTTTTTTTTTTTTTTTGGCCGAATGCAACCCTGTAGAGTTTAAAAGTTCACCTTCAAGGGGGTTGCTCATCATCCTCCTCCAAGCACAGGCGATAGTTTATGGAAAAATGCCAAGATGAAGGTTGGAAGGTACCTGCTCCTTTGATGGGCTGGGAGCCAGTGGTACGATGTTATGCTACAGTCTGCAACTTCGCTGCACAATTTCTGCTAAAAAGGAAACTACTGGCAAACTCCTTGGGGAGATTAAGAAGGGGAGAAGAAGAAAAATGCTCTCTGTTTAGTAAAGAAGGGCAGTCGAGTAGGCTATTATTATTATACAGGATTTATATAGCACCAACAGTTTGCTCCGCGCTTTACAATATAATGGGAAACAATACAGTTCAATACAAGAGGGATAGGAGGGCCCTACTCCTTGGAGCTTACAATCTAGGAGGGAGGGGCTAGTGGTACAAAAGGTAGTAACTGTGGGGGATGGACTGGTAGGAGGAGTAGAAGATTCCATTATTAGCTGAGGGCAGGATAGGCTTCCGTGGTGAGAGAGGTTTTCAGAGATTGCCTAAAAGCAGAGTAGGCAATAGTCTGATTAATTGGGGGTAGAGAGTTCAAGAGGATGGGGGAAGCTCTGTAGAAGTCCTGGAGACGAGCATGGGAGGAGGAGACAAGGGAGCTAGAGAGGGCTAGTTTAGTTATGCACATACTAGGTCAAAACTCAATTTGGTAACTGTACAGAGCTTCTCTAGCCATTTCAAATAGCTGGCCAGTATGACTAAGGCTACATACACATGGATGCATTTGCCCATGCAGTATACAGACCCTGACTATTTCGGGTGTGCTGGAAGTTGTAGAGCTGCATACAGCTGCCTATGGACATGAATTGATGAAGGTGGATGTATGCAGCTGTAGCGCTACCACCGCAGGGGCTGCTTTTCCCCATTGGTTGCCCTGACCTTGCAACCCTCCTGGCAACGCTGGCACTCTGGGTTCAGATGTATTTCAACAGTATGAAATAATAATGCAAGAGACACAATTCTTTAGTAACACCTTTATATTAGGCTCATTCAAAAGTAGACCACAGAATGAAGGTTTAGGAGGTACATTCCCAGTTAACGTATAAAAGCAAAACACTGACACAGAATGAGGTCTGCAATGGGGTATCCATATTTCTCCAATATGTTTACTTTTAAATCAGAATTTGTATAAAAATGCTTCCTGGGATTCAACATTTTAGAATGTTTTGCATGGCAGCACTTTTATTGTGATCACAGGTTCCCTATAGTTATCTTTAAATCACAGAGGCACACAGCAGGAAGGTTTTCTGGTCAGATTGTCTTTGTTACTAGGGGCCTGATATGCATTCTGATGATTAAGAGTCCTCTTATTGGACTTTGGTAACAAAGTAAAACTCTGAGAGATGCACAGAAGTTTATTTATTTTTATTTTTTTTATTTATTCTTTCCCCCACAAAAGGTAATAATGGACACGTGTCACTTTCGTTCTTGGTCCCAACTTGTAGATTTCATATATTTCAAGTGTTACTAAACCCACAATCGTAAAATCAGTCTGTATATTTATTTATTACAGGTACTTGTATAGCGCCATCAATTTATGCAGCGCTTTACATATACAGTTGCAAGAAAAAGTATGTGAACCCCTTGGGATTACGTGGAGTTTTGCATAAATTGGACATAAAATGTGCTCTGAACGTCTAAGTCACAACAATAAAAGAACACAGTCTGCTGAACATAATACTACACAAACATTAGATGTTGCCATAGTTTAATTGCACATAACATGTAAACATTCACAGTGCAGGGAGGAAAAAGTATGTGAGGCCCTAGCTTAATGACTCCTCCCAGAGCAACAAAAGTATCTCCAAAAGCCTTGATGTTCATGTGTCCACGGTAAGACAGACTGTCTACAAATGGACAAAGTTTAGCACTGTTGCTACTTTCCCTAGGCGTGGTCATCCTGTAAAAATGACTGCAAGAGCACAGTGCAGAATGCTGCATGAGGTAAAGAAGAATCCCAGAGTGTCAGCTAAAGACCTACAGAAATCTCTGGCACATGCTAACATTTTTGTTGACACATCTACAATAAGGAAAACATTAAAAAAGAATGTAGTACATGGGAGGACACCAAGGAGGAAGCCATTGCTGTCCAAAATGAATATTGCAGCACGTTTGAAGTTTGCAAAAGAGCACCTGTATGTTCCACAGCACTACTGGCAAAATATACTGTGGACAGATGAAACCAAGATTGAGTTGTTTGGGAAGAACACACAACACTATGTGTGGAGAAAAAAAGGCACAGCACACCAACATCAAAACCTCATCCCCACTGTAAAACATGGGGAAGGGAGCGTCATGGTTTGGGGCTGCTTTGCTGCCTCAGGGCCTGGACGGATTGTTGTCATTGATGGGAAAATGAATTCCAGAGTTTATCAAGACATTTTGCAGGAAAACGTACGACCATCTGTCTGCCAACTGAAGCTCTGCAGAGGATGAGTGATGCAACAGGACAATGACCCAAAGCATACAAGTAATTCAACAAAACAATGGCTGCAACAGCACAGAATACGCCTTCTGGAGTGGCCCAGTCAGAGTCCTGACCTCAACCCGACTGAAATGCTGTGGCATGACATTAAGAGAGCGATTCACACCAGACATCCCAAGAATATTGCTACACTGAAACCGTTTTGTGAAGAGGAGTGGTCCAAAATTACTCCAGATCGTTGTGTAGGTCTGATCTGCAACTACAGGAAACGTTTGGTTGAGGGTATTGCTGCCAAAGGAGGGTCAACCAGTTATTAAGTCCAAAGGTTCACATACTTTTTCCTCCCTACACTGTGAATGTTTACATGTTATGTGCAATTAAACCATGGCAACATCTAATGTTTGTGTAGTACTATGTTCAGCAGACTGTGTTCTTCTATTGTTGTGACTTAGATGACGTTCAGAGCACATTTTATGCCCAATTCATGCAAAACTCCACGTAATCCCAAGGGGTTCACATACTTTTTCTTGCAACTGTATATATTGTACATTCACAATAGTCCCTAACCCTCAAGGGGTGTACAATCTAAATTCCCTAGCCTACATTCATACATACACATACTAGGGCCTCCTAGATTGTAAGCTCCTAGGAGCAGGGCCCTCGAACCCCTTGTGTATCGTACTGTATTGTTGTAGTGTCTCATGTATTGTCCCCCATTGTAATGTACAGCACTGAGCGACCTGTTGGCGCTATATAAATACTGTATAATAATAGGGCCAATTTAGACAGGATCCAATTAACCTACCAGCATGTTTTTGGAGTGTGGGAGAAAACCAGAGTTCCCAGAGAAAACCCATGCAGGCATAGGGAGAATATGCAAACTCCAGGCAGGTGATGCCATGGTTGGGATTTGAACCAACAACCCTAGTACTGCCAGGCAGAAGTGCTAACCATTTAGCCACTGTGCTGCCCATCATATATGCAGTAAATCATGCTTGTTATACTCCCTGTGGAACCTAAGAGGTTAATCCTCTGCATTTTGTAAAAAGGCTGTGTGATCATGATTTATCTAATCCTCCCCCTTCTTCCAGTGTCCTTCTCTTATCTCCTGATAATACATATCATGTCATATCAGTCACTCTACACATACTCAGTTTGGTGTGCATTGCTAGAGAGTGTTTGTTTTTTTCCTTGGGAGAGTGCATGTGATCAGCACAGGGCCAATCAGCACGGTCTAGAAAGAGGTCAGGAGTTCTGCATCCTCCTAGACCAGAATGAAAACTCCTACAAACTTTGCTCTGTTGGACACTGATAGAAGTCACAAGACTGATCCAACTGCTGATGCGAAAAGGTGTGTATATATAGCAGTTTATATTTACTAAATTAATTGCATTTCCATGTTCTGTGTACTGTGGGAGACCAGATATAGTGAATGCAGGGTCCTGGGTTTAGTAACACTTTAAGATAGCCGACATGTTACTTTTAAGCTGTGATATTAGAAAACCACAGAAACGGTGAAAGTATAGTAAACCAAATGGTACAAATAACGGACTTCTTTCTGCCAACAGCTGGACTGATTCCAAGGCCTCTGATGCTGTTCTGGAGGCTGTCAGCACCACATTGAAGTCCTACCCTTTTGATTTTCGAGGGGCAAAGATCTTGTCCGGCCAGGATGAAGGTGTCTTTGGCTGGGTGACCGCCAACTATCTGCTGGAAAACTTCATCAAGGTACAAAGGTCTTGACATTTTAAATGTCCTTCTGCCCATTGCTAATATTTTAGAACTGGGTGGAACGCAGTGGACCAAGTTAGCCATGTTCCTGACAACCGGATACCATGTAATTTTTGCCTAGCCTTTAGGTTACACTAGGCTTTGTAATGGTACTAACACAAACTAATAATGGTTTTCAATGTGCTTTTTGCATGCTTCATGGACTAATTTCAATAATAGGCCTACTGCAAGGGCTTATCGCCAGTTCTGTTTGGCCTTTTCTATGTAGTAAAGACAGCACTTTTTATTATGGGTAAGGTTTTGTGATCTGATTGTTTAGACTAATCAGATTATTAAGATGTCCATTGAAAGTTGTTGGGTGTGCCTTGTGAAAAGCTCTTCATTGTGCGGTCTACAGTCCATAGCCTCCAGCCCTAGTTGGCATCTTGATGTGGAAAAGGCTGGATCAGGTCTATTCTATAGATCTATCATAGGTTGTGGTTGGACACACAAAGAATTGGCATTCATGAAAGCATTTGTTTCTCAATGGGACATGAATAGAGATGAGACACCTGGACAAGTTCCTGGTCTCTGTGCCAAGGTGTCAACAGATGGGAGCAGGTGAGCACAAGCAGGACGTGTTCAGCTTAAAACTCCGAAGAGGTCTAGCTATGATATCTCATTACCACGCAGTGCTTATTTCAGAGGATAATAGAACATATGCCATTGTAAAGCTTACTTTGCTTCTGACATGCTTGCACTGGCATATTTTCATGATCGTAGGTTTCGAAAATTTGATCTGTCTGTATGTGACCATGCTCTCATCATTCCTGCTGAATGACTGACTGATTTGGCAAAAGCCATTTGCAGGATAAGCTACTTACTAAGTATACATTTAGTAGATGCCTACTGACCAAGCACTGACCATACACTAGCACCAAGATAAGACCAGCAGTAAATCACAGTTGGGAAACACAGCAATAAATAAAATATGGCTGCCAACATGCAAGTACATAACTTAAAAAAATCATAGAAGTAAGGTTTTTGAAACCTTAACACATATTCTCATCTTTTTGTTCTTCTCGTTGCTCCATATCCTAACCAGGAATATTCTTATGACCAGAATGGTTGTGCTTGCTGGAAAAGCTGTTACCATAAACAAAGATGGTTAGATCATTCGTGAACATTTTGTTTCCTACGGCAGGTAGTCATGTGATCCAATGCCTAGGCATTTTACAATAATTACTTAAAAATGCCTAGTCCATGATTGTGTCTACGTATTCTTGTTCCCTTTTTTTAGGGAAATTCCCGAACATTTGTGTTTACTGGGCAGCTCTGGTGGGTCACTGAATAAATCTGATCATGGATTTCATTTGATTGAATTTGGTATTTAAGGTTTCTTGGTAAAAGAAATTAAATTAAAATTAATTTTTTTGTCTTCTGATAATTCACTTGTTTATGATGTATTTGTTCTGCAGTATAGCTGGATTGGGAAATGGTTCCAACCTAGGAAGGGTACTCTGGGAGCTATGGATCTTGGTGGGGCTTCAACACAAATTACATTTGAGACTGCAGACAAGATTGACAACCCAGAGACTGAGGTGAATCTGCGGCTCTATGGACAATCCTATCGTGTGTATACACACAGCTTTCTGTGTTATGGGAGAGACCAGGTGCTGAAGAGAGTCCTGTCCAAAGTATTAAAGGTATGCTGATATAGATATATTTTTTTTTTCTGAATGAAGAATAGGTCAATGGACCTTTGTTAATTCTTACGTTTCAGGGTAACTTTTCTTGTGTTTTTTTTAAAGTAATGTGTTTTATGTTTTTCGAAAATTCTATTCACAAATACACATTTACATGACAAAGGATTCCAAGAGCATTATGGGTTACTCAAAGACCAAGCACGGCAGGTATGATGTCTTTCATTAAAACCTTGAGATGAATTCCTGGTCTGAATCATTTAAACCTCAGTCTGAACTATGTTATAAGGGAGAAGACACTGCTCTGTGTTTGTGTAATTTAATGAATTGACTGTGTATAGATTGTGAGCTCTGTAAACAGACTTTTGTCGATGGACTTTTGTTCACATCAGATGGGTTTGGCAATTGAATACAAATCTTTGGGAATGCAAAATCCGTTTTAAGCAAGTTAAATGCAGGTCAGAAGGATGTCAAATACATCCCAATCTGGTGCCATTGACAGGGGCACTAATAGTCTACCTTCTAGATGAAAAGAAGACACCATAATAACATACTGTACCATATTTACATGACTTAATATTTTATATATACATTTTAGAGCATTTATGCAAAGCAATCCTTTCCTATTGTCTTTTTAAGCTCACTTTTCTAGCCTAGGGTTAACCTGTACAACAAGGTATGGGATGTTTTTACTCTAGAGCCTGGAAATGGCTCCTCTATTTGGAGCTGGAACTATTGCCCAACTGCAGCAGACATAAAATTGTAATGGAGCTGTACTCTGGAGCCTAAAATTTTGCAGCTGATCTTTTCACTGCTATTTCACATAACTTCCACAACTAGAAAACATAGAGCACTTCCAACCCTACTGTACAGCTGCAGCAATGGGGTGTTGCTGTTGGTCAATTCAACAGTTAGGGTTCATGCACACTGATTTATTGTAAACGCTGATTTTTTTTTTTCAGTCCTCATGCACACTGGATGTTTTGAGTACACTGGTAACATTAGCTGTGTAAAGTCACGTTTAAAACGTGAGTTTTTTTAGCGTTTTTGCATTAGCATTTAGCAGTGTTTTTTGCTTTTTTTCCTTTTTTTTTTTTTTTTTTTAAAAATTGGGTTGTTTTGGTCAAAAAAAGCCCAAAAATGCTGGTTTGCGGTATTTTGCCCCGTTTTTCAGTGTTGGAGCGTTTTTTACAGCTATAAAACTCCTCTATAAGCCCACTAGTCCTGGGTTTTTTTTTTTCCAGCAAAAAAATGTCCCAGCCAAAAAACATTGATTTATAGTCTGTGTGCATTAACACATAGGATAACATGCTGGAGGGTTTACTAGCTGTAGAAAAAAACCACCCAAAAACGCTGGTTTGCGGCGTTTTACCGCACTTTGCCCAGTTTTTCAGCGTTGAAGTATTTTTACAGCTATAAAACTCCCCTAGAAACCCACTAGTCCTGGGTTTTTTTTCCAGCCAAAAAACGTCCCAACCAAAAAACATTGATTACAGTCTGTGTGTGCATGGACACATAGGATAACGTACTGGGGGGTTTACTAGCTGTAGAAGAAAAACCACCCAAAAACGCTGGTTTGCGACGTTTTACCATGCTCTGCCCCGTTTTTCAGTGTTGAAGCGTTTTACACCTAAAAAAAAAAACTCTTCTATAAGCCCACTAGTCCTGGATTTTTTTTCCAGCCAAAAAAAAACGTCCCAGCCAAAAAACATTGATTATAGTCTGTGTGCATGATCACATAGGATAACATGCTGGGGGGTTTACTAGCTGTAGAAAAAAAAACGCTGGTTTGCGGTGTTTTACCACGCTTTTCCCTGTTTCTCAGCGTTTGGAGTGTTTTTTTACAGCTAAAAAAACTCCTCTAGAAACCCACTAGTCCTGGGGGGTTTTTTTAACCAAAAAACTTCCCAGCCAAAAAACGTTGATTACAGTCTATGTGTGATTGGACACATAGGATAACATGCTGGGGGGTTTACTAGCTGTAGAAAAAAACATCAAAAGCCAAAAACAGCCGCTGTAAAAACGTCCAGTGTGCATGAGGACTTAACAGAAAAGAAGTCAGCATTAGAGACCAACTCAAGCCACGTTTTTCAAATGCATTTAGACGCATTCAGGCGCTAATTATTTTATTAATTTATTTTGACCATTGAAATGAATAAATGCGCCTAGGGCTCTAACACATCTAAATGCGTTTTAGGCCTGTTTGGCATTTTCTATGCTCTATAGCTCCTTTTTATTGAGGGGGAGTTCAGGGGCTTAGGCAAAACGAAAATGCCAAAATACCCAAAAATGTTCATTTAAGAGTAGCAGTGTGCATGAATCCTTAGAGTTTTTGAGAAAAACAAGGGTAGTTGAAAGATTTAGAACTTGTGTAGTGAAAAAAAAATCTAATAATAGCAGATGAGCGTGCTCATCTAAAGGCATGATGTGTTGTCATCCTGTCACATGTCTCTTGTGGGGACCAAAAGTGGTTGTGCTGACACATTATGCAGGCATGGTCCGCGGTTGTCAGTCAGGAAGCTGGTTCAGCCATGTGCCATGATGCTGGAGCGAGTTGATGTAGACACAAAGTAGATGAAAAGCAACTGAGCAGATCTGCAGCTACTAAGACTAAAACACAAAATGGCAGTTGCATGACACAGCATGCTTTAGCTATTTAGTTGGGGTTTAGATCTATGTAGCACTACCACCTTAGGAGTTGCTGAATTATTTTCGGGCTCCCTGTGGCTCTGGACCCCTCTCTGAAAGCCCAGCCCCTGCTGACATAACTGGAATAAATCACCACCAAAAAAGTAAACTCACACACTGAAGTAAACTAATAGGAGGTTTATAGTAAACTTCAATACGACTTTGTTACACAGCAGAAACAGAAGTGGCACGTGTAAAATCAGTTGTTACTTGTGTCAATTTGAACTAAGAAAAGAAAACACTTAACACAGAATATCAGTTAGTATCAGCAGGCCTGGTTTTCAGAAACTAGCCCAATACCTTCAACCTGAGGTGGTCTTACAGACCCCAGTGAGCAGCAAGAACTATCACTTTGGGTCCTCAGGACCTGATGGCAAGGGGATAGCCTGAAACGAGGAAAAGAGCTCTTTACCCCAAAACAACCAATGTTCTTTAAAGGCAGCGAAGAGTCTTCTGCACGCGTGATGGGGACCAGTTAGTGCACAGTGAGAATTGTGAATTATGGTTCTCTGAGGAACAATGCAATAAAGAGAGGGAAGAACAGCACTCCCCCTGCTAGCAGCAATTTACAGGTGTTGCTTTAGATTCACTAGTGATTAGTGCTTTAAAAGGAACAAGTGGCACTGGTAAAAGTGATAATTGGCTCAGGGCAACTCTTCTCTGGACTGCAAGACATTTGGCACAATAGGAAAAGGCCTCCTAAGTAGGGTGGATTGATGATGATGGTGTAACAGCAGTCGTTCAGCCTGTGTACTGACTGTCCTATCGGCTCTCATGATATGTCTGTGGTCAGACAATAGTGGCTAAAAGAACTAGGCCACAACTTCTAATAACTATGTTCAATGTCCCCAACTGTGTGCAGGAAAATGGCAAAGGTGGAGCTGGTGTCAGTGTTCCCTGTGCTTAATAATGCTTGGGACTCTCTCACTCGAGGGATAGCGTCTGGCGAGTCCTGACGGTCTTTCTCTCTCCTCTGATAAGGCCTCCATACACTCTCTGGTCCCACCGGCAGCGTTCCGTCCGGTCCCCTGCTAGCAGGTTAGCCCTCTCCATGATGTGGCAAGGCCAGCGATCAGCAGACCTCTTTCCTTCCTTCCTTTCTTTCTTTTTCTTTCCTTTTTTCCTTTTCTTTCCTTTTTTCCTTTTCTTTCTCTTTCTTTCTTTCCTTTTTTCCTTTTTTCTTTCTCTTTCTTTCCTTTTTTCCTTTTCTTTCTCTTTCTTTCCTTTTTTCCTTTTTCTTTCTCTTTCTTTCCTTTTTTCCTTTTCTTTTTCTTTTTCTTTCCTTTTTTTCCTTTTTTTCCTTTTCTTTCTTTTTCTTTCCTTTTTCCTTTTCTGTCTTTTTTTTCTTTCCTTTTTTCCTTTTCTTTCTCTTTCTTTCCTTTTCTTTCTCTTTCTTTCTCTTTCTTTCCTTTTTTCCTTTTCTTTCTCTTTCTTTCCTTTTTCCTTTTCTTTCTTTTCTTTTTTTTTTCTCTTTCTCTTTTTTCCTTTTTTCCTTTTCTTTCTCTTTCTTTCCTTTTTTCCTTTTTCTTTCTCTTTCTTTCCTTTTTTCCTTTTTCTTTCTCTTTCTTTCCTTTTTTTCCTTTTCTTTCTCTTTCTTTCCTTTTTTTCCTTTTCTTTCTCTTTCTTTCCTTTTTTTTCCTTTTCTTTCTCTTTCTTTCCTTTTTTTCCTTTTTTTTCTCTTTCTTTCCTTTTTTTCCTTTTCTTTCTCTTTCTTTCCTTTTTTTCCTTTTTCTTTTCTTTCTTTCTTTTTTTCCTTTTTTTTTCTTTTCTTTTCTTTTCTCTTTCTTTTTCTTTCTTTCTTTTTTTCCTTTTCTTTCTCTTTCTTTTCCTTTTTTTCCTTTTCTTTCCTTTTCTTTCTCTTTTTTCCTTTTTTTCCTTTTCTTTCTCTTTCTTTCCTTTCCTTTCTTTTCTCCCATTTCTTCCTATAGATGGTAGAGCGTTGATTGGAAAATAAAGAAAAGTAACAGACTCTCCCAACCACACAAGCAAGGTGGATGGAGGAATCCTGTCCTCTGTGCTATTGTATTCTGACAGTGGGAACACCTCCATTTGTCAGAAAACACTGATCAGTGCTGCAGTCAGCTGATCAAATAAAAATTTTCAAACATTCCTGTTTGACAGAACTTGATAATTAAATCTGGTTCTGTTGAGCGCAAACAGCCATAGATGGATCAAAATTTCCATCTATGGCCAGCTTAAATCTCCCTAGCAGGGACGCAGCAATAAAACCTGATTGGGGTTCTAATTGACCAACACTTGTCTTTAAATACACTCTGCGTACATTACTTATTTTGAATACTCCACTTTTGAGCCACACTTTCAAATGGTGTCATGCAGTTCTACTAACTATATACACAAAACATTCCGAAATCCTTTTTTCTGAAAGATTATTAAACATTCTAATGAAATAATGAGTTGTCACAATGAAAGCCTTCTGATGCTTATATTGCAGTGCCATCTAGTGGCAAAATATAAACAAACAAAATTTGTACAATTGCAAGTGTATATATAATGGTCTTAAAGCGCTTCTTCAGATATCTTTTGAAAAATTAAGTCAGAAGCTATAAAAAAAACTGTAGCTGCTGCCTAAATACACTCACCTGTCCCAGGATGCAGTACTGTCCTCACCCAACCGGTTTCTTCAGCGAGCGTCGGTCCCTGGCACCAGCATACTAACTGTGGGCAGCCGGCTGTAAAAGTGATACTAAACCTAAAAAAAAGAAAAAAAAAAAAAAAAACTTTTTTTACCTTAATGCATTGCTTGCAACTTTTAGGGTCCCTGTGCTCCCCCTTCCATGTGTGAAGGGGAAGAGGGGAGAAGAGATTGTGTCTCTGTGTGAAGAGTAAGCGAGAGATTCAGCCGTGCACAGCAACAAACCACAGCAGAAGCCATTGGCTCTTGCTTCTGTCAATCAAGTGTGGTGAAGAAAAAGTGGGGGGCGAGGCTAAGTCCTGCTGTGAGTGTCTATGGAGCGTGGATCTGTAGACACACAGGTTGGGAGCGGGCACGCAGCGTTTGTGTGCCCCCATAGCAAGCGGTTTGCTATGGGGACAAAGAAGAGGAGCCAGGATTGCTGGCAGGAGACCCAAGAAGAATTTTTTTTTTTTTTTTTTTTTTTTTTTTTTTTTAATTTCTGTAACACTTGAAAGCTTGTGGCTTCACATCTAGCTAAATGGTCCCACAGCTTTCTGGGATCTGTGATGTGTCCCAGAAAGAGGGGAACCGAACTTCTGCTCCGATCACCACGGCAATCCGGCCAGAAGTGGCAGCAGGTACCTGTCAAAACCAGGTATCTGCTTTGCTGCCCCCCCCAAAAAAAAAAATTATGCACCAAATGTGGAGGCCGGGGGCAGAACCGGAACTGGGGGAAATTCTAAATTATACTAGTATAAAGTTGGAAGTTGGCTTAAAGCAGAATGAACATTTTATATGAAAATTCTTTGTACATTTGATGACTGGATGAATGCCAGGATTGCTGGCAGGGGACCCGAGAAGAAGAGGATCAGGGCCACTCTGTGCAATCCGACCAGAAGTGGCAGCAAGTAGCTGTCAAAACCAGGTATCTGCTTTGCCTTTTCCTCCCCCCAAAAAAAATAATTATTCTGCGCCAAATGTTTAGGGCGGGGGCAGAAGCGGAACTGGGGGAAGTTCTGCTTGAAGCCAACTTCCAACTTTATACTAGTAGAATTTAGAACGAACATTTTATATTAAATATATGGGGAAAGGAACGAGTGCTGGATCTGACAGATTCAAGCCGCTAGCATAAAGGTAAACCTCGTATACCCTCTTCATCAAAAGTCAAATACAGCAAAAAGTTGCAGCGCTTGAGTATATAATAAAGGGAATTACCATATATATAGCAGAAATAAAAAGAAAAAAACATTCATTTTATGACATGCACCAGGTCCAACGTTCATAAATTAATGTAAACAATGGTCAGGTAAATAATAAAGATTCATTCCACTAATCAAAGTGCCTATAGTGATAGGGATGTTAGAGTCATAAGTTTTGGGGGTGTATCCAAGTGACAAGCAAATCCGTGACTTCCGTGATAGGAGAATAGCTGTAAAATGCACTAACCAGATAGCGCAAGTAAACGCGCATTGGAGTATAATGACCTACTCCTGGTCACAGCCAAATGGTCCTCAGCGTAAAGCCCTCAGGAACACCAGTGCACCACTCTTGCCGTCTCCTACCACCAGGGGGAGTGCGCCTCTTTACAGTATCACGAAATAGCCTTCTATCCTCTAATCGCCAGGATTGGTGTGCTTTCATATCAGGAGATCATCTCAGGGACTCGGCAATAAGACACAAAAGAAAGAAATCTTGATAGTGTAGTATTTTTATTCAAAGGTAAAAGCAAGTAGCACACTTACATGGTAATGTCCAAAAAAGCTGATTCACAGAATCCAAAAAGATGGCCGACAGTCAAATGCATGAACCAAGTGGATAATACGTGGTATGAGAGGTGTCCTTATCCCGAATGCGTTTCGTGGCCATGGCACATTATCCCACGTATTATCCACTTGGTTCATGCATCTGACTGTCAGCCATCTTTTTGGATTCTGTGAATCCAAAAAGGATTCACAGAATCCTTTTTTGGACATTACCATGTAAGTGTGCTACTTGCTTTTACCTTTTGAATAAAAATACTACACTATCAAGATTTCTTTCTTTTGGGTCTTATTGCCGAGTCCCTGAGATGATCTCCTGATATGAAAGCACACCAATCCTGGCGATAGAGGATATAAGGCTATTTCGTGATACTGTAAAGAGGCGCACTCCCCCTGGTGGTAGGAGACGGCAAGAGTGGTGCACTGGTGTTCCTGAGGGCTTTACGCTGAGGACCATTTGGTTGTGACCAGGAGTAGGTCATTATACTCCAATGCGCGTTTACTTGCGCTATCTGGTTAGTGCATTTTACAGCTATTCTCCTATCACGGAAGTCACGGATTTGCTTGTCACTTGGATACACCCCCAAAACTTATGACTCTAACATCCCTATCACTATAGGCACTTTGATTAGTGGAATGAATCTTTATTATTTACCTGACCATTGTTTACATTAATTTATGAACGTTGGACCTGGTGCATGTCATAAAATGAATGTTTTTTTTCTTTTTATTTTATATTAAAATTCTTTGTACATTTGATGTTGCTTGCTTTTAACAATTGAAATTGAATGTAATTTCCTGAACAAAAACAACAAATACTGTTAGAAATGTATTTGTTGAAGAAATATTTCTATCTGCTTCTTTGAATTTTCTTGTCACGAATGTCAATTTACCTAACTGATGATCAGAAAATCAAATATTCTTCAAATATTTTTCTAAATTCTATTTGTGTATAGTCAGCTCCTATTTACCATTGAAAAGTGAATGATTTGTGTGCCTATTTGCCAAGGTATTGTAGTGTAGAAAAGTCAATACTATGTGAAATACAATGCTTCCTGGAGCAAAGTTATTGCGTACTGCAGTATATGTAATAAATAAGTGTACATCTTTTTAATTTCTCATTGCATATGTTTTCTATTTTAAATCTAGGAACAGTCTTACTCATTAAATATCCAACATCCATGCTGGCCCAAAGGTTTTACCAAACCAGTAAAATTCGGAGATGTTTTTGAGTCCCCGTGCACATCCAGCGAGAAGCCGGCAAACTATGACCCCTCAGTGGAGATGACTATTTCCGGCAGTGGAGATGCTGACCAGTGCAGGCAGCAAGTGAACAAACTCTTCCAATTCAGCGACTGTCCATACTCCTCCTGCTCCTTTGATAAAATCTTCCAGCCGAGAGTGACAGGAAAATTTATAGTACGTTTTTAACAAGCCATGTTTCACCTGTATATAAGTTTACAACATTTGTTTTCTTTCTGTGTTCATCCTCCCTTTCTGTACACGACCTACAGCGTGAACTGAAAAGCACTCTTGACAGCAGAACAGATGTCCCCATTGGAAGATCTTCTTTTTTTTCTTTTTTTTCTCCATTTTCCTGTTTTGGTGACATCTGAAAAATTTTGAATTTGCGATTAGTATACAGTTACCTCTCTGACCCGGTGCCATTGTCACCGTGGTAGAAAGTAATATTGCATCTCCTAAATGGGGTCAAAGAGAGACCGGTGTTCTATTATTTTCCTGATCTATCCAAAACTAGAAAAAAAATTGTAGCGTAGAGTTACAGCATTGACCTACTCAAAGTTGGGCTGCACCTTTGATTTGAACCAGCAGGTGATAAGTGTTCAGAATCTTATTGCAAGGAATGTGGTACTGCATTGTATGTGCATTAACGATGTGATCATTCGCCACAGCGCTACCTTGCCCTGTGTTTATTTATCTTTATGGCTATGACCATACTTTCATGATATTGTTGCTTATTATAGAAAGATCTGTAACCACAATTTATAAGTCCGATGATGAGCTGTTCTGCTGGTTTTCATACCCTCCCTGCTCATACAGACCAGTCATGCCCTTTGCACTCCTTGCACTTCTGAGATGCCCTCGGCATTCTTCTCCTGCACATTCTTACATGTCATATCCTTCACATTTCTGCCTCCGCACATACTGCCCGCTGTCATACCCTCTGTGCTGCTCTCTTGCATATACCTCCCTCTGCACTCCTCTCCTACACATACTGCCCGCTCTCATACCCTCTGCACTCCTCTTCTCCATATACAACTCACTGTCATACCTCTGCACTTTTCTCCTACACATACCACCCACTCATACCTGCTGCACGTTTCTCCTACACATACTGCCCGCTGTCATACCCTCTGCACTTTTCTCCTACACATACCACCCACTCATACCTGCTGCAATTTTCTTCTACACATACTGCCCGCTGTCATACGCGCTGCAATTTTTTCTCCTCCACTTACCCGCCCGCTGTCATACCCTCTGCACTTTTCTCCTACACATACTGCCCGCTGTCATACCCACTGCAGTTTTTTATCCTACACATACCGCCCGCTCTCAAACACTCAGCACTCCTCTTCTCCATATACAATTCACTGTCATACCCTCTGCACTTTTCTCCTACACTTACTGCCCGCTGTCATACCCTCTGCACTTTTCTCCTACACATACCACCCACTCATACCCTCTGCACTTTTCTCCAACACATACTGCCCAATATCATACCCACTGCACTTTTCTCCTACACATACTGCCCGATGTCATACCCGCTGCACTTTTCTCCTACACTACACATACTGCTCACTGTCATACCCGCTGCAATTTTTTCTTCTGCATTTACCGCCTGCTGTCATACTCGCTGCAATTTTTTCTCCTGCACATATCGCCTGCTGTCATACCCGCTGCAATTTTTTCTCCTGCACATACCGCCTGCTGTCATACCCGCTGCAATTTTTTCTCCTGCACTTACCGACCGCTGTCATACCCGCTGCAAATTTTTCTCCTACACATACTGCCCGCTGTCATAACCGCTGCAATTTTTCTCCTACACATACTGCCCACTGTCATAACCGCTGCAATTTTTCTCCTGCACATATTGCCCACTGTCATACCCTCTGCAACTTTCTCTTACATATACTGTCTGCTTTCATACCCACTGCACTCTTCTCCTTCACATACTGCCGATGTCATATCCTTTGTACTCTTCTCTGGCACATGACTTCCTCTGTTTTACTCTCACTCCTGTCTTGCACATACTGTCCACTTTCACGTCCTCCATACATGTCGCAGAAGACAGTGAGCAGAGAGGTAGATGCATTTTATTGTGGAAGAGACCTTTCATGTCTTTTCTGCAATAAAGAACCTGCCTGCTCACAGTTTTTGACCGCAGGACTTTTAAAGTAGATCTATAGACAAAACTTTTTTTTTCATTTTGGATAGAGCAAGGGAGGGTTATAACCTCTGTCAAACTTCCCTTCACTTCCTTACCCATAGCCAAACAAGAAGTGAGAGGAAATCCCTACAAATTAAGGGAATTCTTTGGACTCCCAGGTCACCAGAACTAGTGTCCCCTTTGCAAGATTTCCATTCTATTACTTTTCTGGGAACAAAAGAAAAATAGAAAAGCAAAGTTTGGAATTTTCTTTTACTTTCACTTACAATGATAATGGTAAACAGGACAAATCAAGAGGGTGAATCTCCATAACAGGGGCACAGACAGAAATAAAAAGGTCAGGGGTTTTAATGCCTCTCCACTCTATCCAAAACTTAAAAAAAATGCCTTTAGTTATACTTTAGGTTCTATCTGATGCTTACTTGTCTGTTTCTGTGCCTGGATAAATATTGAGATCTGTTTGATCTACCTGTTAGAGATTAGGAAAACTATACATGAAAGGATAATTTCCCAAATGAGCTTTATGCAAATAGAATTAACTCTGATCTCAAGCCAAGGTCTTGTGATCATGGCTAACAGCTATACCCATTCATTACCGAGGTATACACTCACCAACACTAAAATGTCTGATATGCCTGTCTGTGGGCAGGAAAATATCCCATATGTTCAAATGGTACTCCCTTTCCTCAGCTCCTCCACCTGTTCTCCACAGCACAATGCCCATGTGTGAGCACCTTGCTCCCTCCAGCCATGCCTACCACATTCCTATTCAATGGAGGCCCACTATGGGCAGCTCTGTTGGTCACTGTAGACTCCCATTGCATGGATACAATATAGGACTGACCACTCCCTGACACGTTCTGGAGGGGGCATCACCACAAGTGCTGCCCCCCAAACCTCCCCTATCCTTCCCACGCAGTGTCACACGACAGGCTGAGGCATGGGGCCCAGGTGTGGACAGGAGGGGTGGCTGTATCCCCCCCCATCAGTGGTCTGCAAGTACTACCTCTGTACTCCTGTCCTGCACATATTGCTGCTGTCATACCCTCTGTACTCCTCTCTGACATACTGTGTATACTACTCTCATACACTCTGCACTCCTCTCCGACATACCGTATACTACTCTCATACACTCTGCACTCCTCTCCGACATACCGTATACTACTCTCATACACTCTGCACTCCTCTCCGACATACCGTATACTACTCTCATACACTCTGCACTCCTCTCCGACATACCGTATACTACTCTCGTACACTCTGCACTCCTCTCCAACATACCGTATACTACTCTGATACACTCTGCACTCCTCTCTGACATACCATATACTACTCTCATACACTCTGCACTCCTCTCCGACATACCGTATACTACTCTCATACACTCTGCACTCCTCTCCAACATACCGTATACTACTCTGATACACTCTGCACTCCTCTCTGACATACCATATACTACTCTCATACACTCTGCACTAATCTTCTGCACATATTGCTACTGTTATACACCTTGCAAATATTGCTTCTGTCCAGGGACGGACTGACCATTTAGGCATTCAGGCACTGCCTGAGGGCCTGGGGTCAGTAGGGGGTCCCATGAGATGCTCCTGGTACATTTCATAGTCTTTTTTTTGGTTGTGGTTTGAGTGTGGGCGATTTTCCTATTGCCCGGGGGCCCCATGAGTTGTCAGTCCGCACCTGCTCCTGACATACCCTCTGCACTTCTCTCCTGCACATAATGCATGCTATGATTTCAATCCTATAATTCTCTAGCATACCTATAGTGCCCCCCTCCTCCCATTTCTTTAGCATTGTTTGTTATAACCCCAACCATTCCGGTTCTGAAACTAGCACAACAAAAATGATAATATTATACTATACTCCCGCAGTATGTGCTTTATTGCATTTGCTGTCTGCCCTGCTAAGACTCTGTCACCTGATTGTCACTGGAACAGAGAAAGAAGTCACGTCTTCTTCTATTCTGGTGACAACAGATTCTCTATAGAAAGCAGTCCTTTAATTTGACTTTTAAATGGCTGATTTGATTAAAAAGGATCAGAAAATTTTACAATTGGACCAATATTTTTGTTTAGGAGAAACAAACACAGGTGAAGCGCTCACAACAGAGAAGCCACTCAACACCAAACCTGGAGTCCAACAGGTGCTCTGGCTCAACAACGTCCTCCAACCGTTACATGTGATGGAAATGTAGAGAAGAGCAGACCACTCGAAATCCATGTAAACTGCTTTATTTCTACATAGTAAAGAGTAAAAGAACAAATGCGTTTCGGAAAATAGCCTTGATCACAGCAGTGTGAAGGCTATTCACCAAAATGGCTCTTTTACTCTTTACTCTGGGAAAATAAAGCAGCTTACATGGATTTGGAGTTATCTGCTCTTCTCTACATTTCCATTACAATATTTTTGGCTACATTATATGAAAATGATCATAAAACTATCAGATTTGATTGAAAAATGCATAATTTTTTTGAAAGAGCATATTGATAAAGCAAACCTAAACCCTCGCAAAAATATGCTTCATTTTGTAGACCTTGGTAAATGAAATGGTATTGCTTTTATTTTATTACTTTTAGTTATTATTAATAAAAAGAAAAAAAAAAAAAAAATATATATATATATATATATATATATATATATATATATATATATATATATATATATATATATATATATATATATTTGGTTTGCATTGCTGGCATGATTTAGTTGGAAGCTGACCCAATTTTGATAAGAGAACATATGCAACTACATATTTGGTTTGATTATTTGTGTTTAGATACACTTTAAAGCTGAACTCCAGGGAAAGTAAAGAGGCTCTCTTGCAGTGACGCTGCCCCTCACTGCAAGGGTTATATACTTGTTCAGGACCAGGGGAGCAAAAAAAAAAAAAGTTTTAGCCAATCCTCCACTCTCACATGCTCCTCTGCACTGTAAGACTGTACCTGTCATCCTGTTCTCCCCTATGCTTTGACAGTCTGTCTTGAAGACCAATACATAGCCCATAGCCTTGCACTGTAAGCTGATGCCCAGGAACGGTCTACTGCTGGAATGCTGGCTGTTGTGGGGGCAGAGGATCAGGTAAGTAAAAGCGTTTTTTCTGTCCCCTAGACCTAAACAAACATTTGGGGGGGGGGGGGCAGAGGATCTTTATTTTCCCTGGAGTGGGGCACGGCTTCCACCTACTTTCGGTTCCCGTGTTCTTTAGTGAAGCATAGAGCAGCTGGAAAGTATGCTAGAATAAAACGGACACAAAAGGGTTTATTTACTAAATCTGGAAAGTGCAAAATCAGGCTCACTTCTGCACAGAAACCAATCAGCTTGCAGGTTTTATTGCCAGGATTTAATTGAAGAAGCTGATTGGTTTCTATGCAGGAGTGTGAGCCTGAGTTTGCACTTTCCAGCCTTAGGAAATCAGCCCTCAAATGTCAGTCCAAATCTTATATCTGGGGTATTAAAGTAAACGGGTCAAGGCAGAATTACAAAGGCTGCCTCTACTGACCCCTCTTGAAAATCCTAGATGCTTGGCTGTCATGCTGGGGAACCAATAATGGGGAAATGTTAGGAAAAGTCACTAAGTTCTGGGTAAGTATTAAAGCAGGAGGCCCAGCATAACAGCCAGCAAATTGGCATGTTCAGGAGGAGCGGTCATCAATAGCAGCCTATGTATCTAAGGACAGGTTTTTTTTAAGTAATTTGTAATAATCCAGTAATAAATTGCACCTGATATTGTCCTACTATGGTCACGTTCAGGGGCGGACTGACCATTCAGGCACTCAGGCACTGCCCGAGGGGCCCGGGGACAGTAGGGGGCCCCATGAAATGCCCCTGGTACTTTTTTTTTTTTTTTTTTTTTTTTTGGGTGTGCTTTGAGTGTGGGCAAGGACACAGGGGCCCCATGATCCCCTATTGCCTGGGCGCCCCATAAGTTGTCAGTCCGCCCCTGGTCACGTTACAGAGACAACTCAAAGCAAGCAGATGGACCTTAATTTTGAGTATTTTTCTAAGCCTTTCCAGCTATTTTTTTTTTACTTTCCTTCAGCTGCTACTCGTGGGAACTGGCATTTACTGGAAACAATGCTCCTAGGCCAACATTTTGCCATATGTTTATTATATAAGTCCCACGTGCAACTTGTTACCAAGCAGTGCTAGCTCAGATGGCTGTTGTCATGGAAATAACTCTAGGCCAGGCTTTGGGCCTTTACAGCCTATTATCAAGACAAAATAATAAAAGAAATGTACTAATGTATGCGGTGAAAGGACTCGCTCATTATTTTATTATGTTTTCAGGCATTTGCAGCATTTTATTACACCATCGACTACATCAAATCTGTGATGAAGATGCCAGTCAGTTCTCTGGAGGACCTGCTTACCGCCACGGATGCCATCTGCTCCTCCACTTATATCGATGTGAGTCATGACAAGCTGGAATATGCCAGTATTATATTTTAACAATCTCATGTTCATCAGTCGGTCAGCTTTATTGTTACCATGCATCATGAAATTTGCTCTACATCAATTAGTCATAGGTAGCTCAAGCGGATTAATCCACACAATAAACAGAGGCAGATGTCCTTAGGCGCTGAGCATACACATGTTAATATTTTAATAGCAATATACAGATGATACAAGCCAAGTACTTTTCTTTCATTTGAGTGCGTCCTTGTTGAGTATCCTTTCAAATATCTATATACTACCTAGATCACATGCAAGCAGCTATATTTGAAGAGCAAGACCACCAGCAAAAAATATCTTTCACATTTCTGGGGTGGTGCTTGCGCCATTGCCAGGTTCTCATAGAAGTCAGAGGAAAATGGCCATGGCTGATGACTTTTCAGCCACGCTATTCCTTTCACTAGCTTGTTCTTTCACCAGTTCTTTGTAGTTTCCACTAGAGGGGAGCATGATCCTGTATTTTTGTTTTTTTTTTTCCAAAGCATCTACTAGAACAGTGGTTTTCAACCTCAACCCTCCAGTACCCCCAACAGGTCCTCTTTTCAGGATTTCCTTCACCTTGCACTTGTGCTTTAAATCAGGGGACTCCAAACTGTGGGCCGCGGGCCAGTTGTGGCCCTTTGCTTGCATTTATCCAGCCCTTGGGGCACTTTTCCTTCCACTGATATGAAGCACTATTCTTCTCACTGACACAGACGATGGGGCGCTATTCTTCCCACTGACACCGAGGACGGGGGCGCTATTCTTCCCACTGACACCGAGGACGGGGGCGCTATTTCTTCCCACTGACACCGACGACGGGGGCGCTATTCTTCCCACTGACCCCGACAATGGGGCGCTATTCTTCCCACTGACACCGACAACGGGGCGCTGTTCCTGACACTGAGGACGGGGCGCTGTTCCTGACACTGAGGACGGGGCGCTGTTCCTCCCCCTGACCCCGACGGCTGGACGCTGTTCCTCCCCACTGACCCCGACGGCTGGACGCTGTTCCTCCCACTGACACCAGAATTTGGGAACTAATTACCCCACTGACACCAACGATAGGGCACTGTTCCTCCACTAGCCACCAAGCCTAGGGTATTGTTTACTCCCACTGCTGCCAGGGCATTTTCTACTCCCACTGGCCACAATCCAGCCCCCCTAAAGTTTGAAGGGCAGTAAACTGGCCCTTTGTTTCAAAAGTTTGGAGACCCCTGCTTTAAATCAATATCCTTTTGGCTTGGCATTTGCGACCGTTATTTTATCTAAGGAAAATTATTATTATTAATATACCGGGTTTATATAGCGCCAACAGTTTGCACAGCACTTTACAATGTAAAGGGAGACAATACAATTACAATACAGTTCAATACAAGCGGTATAGTAGGGTCCTGCTCATGGAGCTTACAATCTAAACCGAGGGAGAGGTGATACAAAAGGTAATAGCTGCAGCATATGATGTGATGGAGGTGACTCAAGTGCAGTTCTTAGGTGGAGGTGGGGTAGGCTTCCCAGAATAAATGAGTTTTCAAGGATCGCCTAAAGTCCAACAAGATGGGAGCTGACCAGACATACTGGGGTAGGGGGTTCCAGAGGCTGAGAGAGGTTCTGGAAAAGTCCTGGAGGCGATCGTGGGTGGAGGTAATGAGGGAGCTAGAGAGCAAGATGTTTTGGGAGGAGAGGATAGTTTGGGTGATATTTGCAGATGAGGTTGGTGATGTTGCTAGAGGCAAAGTTGTGGATGACTTTGTGTGTGAATGGTATTGAAAATACTAACCACAACGTACAGCGTGCGGCCTGACCTCACCCTTCACCCAGACTCTCTCCTTATTGGCTCACTGGCTGTGATTGACAGTAGCGGGAGCCAATGACTCCTGCTGCTATCTCAGCCAATGAGGAGGGAAACATCTGGGGAAGCTCTCGTGCACACTGCTGGATCGAAAGGGGGCTCAGGTAAGTATTAGGTGGGGCTGGGAGGGGCTGATGCACACAGAAGGTTTTTTTGTTTTGTTTTTGTTTTTTTTTACCTTCATGCATATACTTCATGAAGGTGCAAAAACCTTGAGCCTTTAGAACCACTTTAGGACTGTGAATATGGTTCAGGAGAGCAGAATTTTTAAACAGAATACTAAGATCAAGAATATGGGGCATGACCTTGCATACTACTTATTTACAATTTCTGAAGGAGCAGGGTAGAAATTGGTCTTATTAAATCTTAGCCATCTTGCCCCAAGAACCGATCTTGGCAGACTGCAAGTTTTCTATGTAAACGGAAAATAAAAATGGTGTTGCACTATCTCTTTAAACAAATTCCATATTACTGAAATGTGGAACCTGTATTTATCAAAACAATTCATATTCCCTGTGTTACAAATCATATAAATGTTCAACAGTGTGTATCATCAACCAAACCTAAAAAAAGTGATTACATAAAACCGTCTGCATTCCTAACATATCCAGTGAAATTCCATAGTTAAAAAACTGTCTGGCGTTGTGATGACATTAGAGCTAAACTTTTCGCTGATGCGTTTCATCATGAGGATGTCATCAGGGGTCGGTGATTGTGAATGAATTGTTTTGATATTTATGTTACACACTTCAGTTTTATGGAATTTGTTTAAATACCTTTTTATTCTTCTTTTTTTTTTTTTTTTTTTTTTTTTTTTTTTTTTTTATTAATTTTGATAACTTTGAGTGCAGCTTTTTCTCTTTTTTTAGATTTGCATACCTTTTTAATTCAAGTCTAGTTTTGCCCTAAGCACAGAGTTTTACGTGTCTGAATTCTAATGTAAAACAACCATTAATAAACTAAAAAAGGTTTGAAACCTGGGTTTTGGAGGTTGAATAACTTCACATTAAAAACAGCTAGAGAGGTCAGGGATAGCTTGTTAAGAATAGTCCATAATCCGGTCAGATATTATTATTATTATACAGGATTTATATAGCGCCAGCAGTTTACGCAGTGCTTTACAATATAACAGGAGACAATACAGCAACAATACAGTTCAGTACAAGAGGGTTAGGACGGCCTGATCCTGGGAGCTTACAATCTAAGAGGGAGGTAGAGATGCACTTTAAAGCAGAACTTCAGCCACAGACATCTTTACAAATTCATAGTGGGGGAAAAAGTTACTTTCTGTGAGTCTTGTTTAGTGTTTGATTCATTCATTTATGCCACCATATAATACAGCTAGTGTTTGTCCTTCCAATATTGCAACTTTGAGAGATGTGGCTCTCACACCATGAAGGGATCTTGTCATCTATCCACCCTTTTCCTCTGCCCTTGTCCATTCACAGAACGCCTTGTATTCTAGGCACATGCAAAGTCCAGGCACAGGTAAACTGTATATGAACAGAATACAAGGCATTTTCTGAATGGACAAGGGAAGAGGAGGGCAGATTAACAACAAACAAGGTTCTTCTTTGTTAATTCCAAAGCTCCTTAAATTCATACAGTGAACCTGTGCTCAAACTATGCACCATAGCAGTAAATCCTTTCAAGTACACTGCCTATCATGGAATGAAAACAAATGTAAGTTCTCAATGGAGAAAAAATACAATTTGTGTTGTGAATGGTCAAACTATATGAAAAAATGAACACAACAAAGCTGCCATTTTTGTCATTTCAATTTGAATTTCCAGCAAGCAATTTAAAATAAAAAAATGAGTAAACACAACTCCTTTTTGAAAGCGTATTTTTTGGCAGGCTTGTACATCATCAACCCTAAAAAACAATCATTTTACAATGTGTATTAAGCTTACAAGCTTGACAAACGTATTTCAAAGCAACCTACTTGATGGTGTTTGGATCAATGGGTTCCATTCTTCAATCTTTTCTAGGTGTGTACGGTAAGGCAGCACCTATGACTCTATTTGTACTGCTGGTTTTTTTTTTTTTTTTTGTTTTTTTTTTTTCTATTCATAATTGTTGCATTTTCAGCTTCCAGTCATGCTTTGTGTAGCAGAATGCACCATCAGTTTACCTAGTTTTGGAGGTTGCTGCCCAACTAGTGTGTGTGTCAATAAGCCTTATTAGGATCAGAACTTCTCTTGTGCTGCACTGCGTCTATATAGTTATGTTTATTACTTTCCCCTCTCTTTTTCTATAGCTGTCCAGCAAGAGTCCTCCATTTCAACAGAAACATCTCAGTGGATACTGTGCCACCGCTAATTTCATCTACCTGTTAACTAGTAAAGGCTACAAATTTGATAATGGCACTTTCCCCGACATCACTTTTCAGAAGAAGGTAAAAAAATCTCAACACTATACTTGACCTTTTTTTTTTTTTTTTTTTCCCTTTCTCATTTTAATCCGATTTGTTATCTTGATATAAACCCGTGTTCAATCTAAAGCTACTCATTTTACCAGGAGACATTCCCATTCACACTTTGTAGCATGACGTGGGAACTCACCCATACATGCAATGTTGTGTTTTTGGCATAGGGCAGCTATTCATTTGAATGACCTGCCCTACTTGGAACAAATGTGGCAAAGAAGGTCATCCACCTTTTTTAAGCTTTCAATGTTTGTTGCACATTTTTTGCAAACTTTCGCGGTTTTAAAAAAATAAAAAATACCTAAACTTAAGCGGTAAGTTAATGGGTGCAAACAAATATTTCATAGGTATGCCTACAAATTTATGGTAGCTTAATACTGAATTTTCCAAACATTTTTACGCGTTTTTGATGCGTTCCAGTTCATTTTTTTTCTCCTATCTTTTTCTTCAACTCAATAGGAACGTGCGTTCTGGTGCGCTTTTGGTGTTTTTAATGTGTTCCCGTACAGTTGAGTTAAAAAAAAATGCAGCATGTTCTACTTTTTTTCTTTTTTTTTTTTCTGAAACTGGAATGAACTGGAACTGACCGCACTGGTGTGAACCATGCCATTGGAAACCATGTAATCTACTATCAATTCGTTTTTGATGCAGAAAAAAATGCACTGGACTGCATGTGGTGTGAACTGGCCCCAACCAATCAGATTATAGTTTAATTAGTCTCCCGCAATGGCTGTATCT